TAAGACACAACTCTTGCACTCCAATATCATCATTGAGCTATATTCATTTCTTGCTTCCATCTTCCTCATCAAATATATTATTTTGAGAGTTAGAAATATTTTATTGAGTGCTAAAGATTTTGTCATCCATAGAGCTTTAATTCTTCAACACTACTTTGCTCAATTGTGTGAGCTTTCATTCTTGTGTTGTTAAACTCAATCTCATTTGAGTGTTGTTCTAAAGACTTGTGTGACTCAAGTCTTGTTGTTGTAAGAAAGTGAGGCTTGTGTGATTCAAGTTCTCAAGTTGTACCGGTTTTTCAAGCACCCGTTGAAGCTTGAAGATTAGTAGGACTTTCGAGAGTCTCTCGGAGGACTGGACTAGCCACGAGGTGGTGAACCAGTATAAATCTCGGTGTTCTTCTTTCCCTTACTTTCTTTATTTATTCCTGCGATTTTATTTTTTCACACACGCGAAAAACGCACATTCTTGAAAACAACTCTATTCACCCCCCTCTAGAGTTGCACATTTGTATAACAGAGTTTGATTGAGATTTGATGAATGGCGAAATACTTTGATGATAAGTAATGTTGTAGCATTTGAATTAATAAATTATGTTGATGCTTTAAGAACTGTGATGCAAATACATTTCAAAATGTACCTTTTAAATATGAGTTGCTGCCAAAATTTGAGTATCTAAGGTATGATTTGTGTGTGGAATCTACGAGTGAGACGAACGGTAGAAAGTCGTTTTACTCCCAAGACATTATCATAGAATTCAATTGTTAATGATTATTCAATTTAAATATTTTTATGTGATGAAACTCTGTGTATATTGAAGTATGCTTTAAAAAACTCTTTACAAACGTGATCATAATTTAGACGTTATAAATTATTAATTTTAAAAACTAAATTAATGTTAGAAGTATTCAAAAAAAATATAAGAGACGTGTTTATTAGGTTGTTTATTCTTTATTCCTAAAAGAATAATATTCCTATTCTTTTATTCATTTCACCATTACATGTGCTTTAGAAAGAGACCACTGAAGAAGATATTTTTTCAATAAATACATATCAAAATATAAGCTTTGGACTTTTATGTGACATCAATCTATCAAACAAGCATGTTTCAAAAATCCATGTTTTTACGTGTACATTTCCAATAAATGTGTTTAAAGAAACATATTTCTATTGTGTTAAAAGTTGAAATTTTTAAGGCATAATATTAATTAAACAATGGCAGTTACTATTAAATAATAATCTTAAATATTAATTGTTATATTCTTGAATAACTATTAATTGTTATATTCATAAAGGGTACACAATTTATTTATAATAACAAAAATAAAAAATGTAAATAAACTGTTAATGGATAAAACAGTTGTACTCAGATGTGATTTCAAACAAATTCTTCCTGTTTTGCCCAGAGCTACGAGAGAAGAAATTGTAGGTGCTACCATTAATTCTTCAAATTTGTGGTCGTATTGTAAAGTTTATACGTTGACAAAGAATATGAGATTCCATTCATCTACGTCCTCTTTCGCAGATAGAGACACACAAGATTTTTCTGATTGGATAATCAAAGTTGGAGATGGAGAGCTTGGGCAAGTGATTGATGGAACTGCTGATGGTGATATTCTGCTCGAATTTTTTATTCTAGACACGAGTTCTCCCCTCAAAAGTATAGTGGACTTCACTTATCGATCCGAACCTATTGGAAAATATGAAAAGTTATTCTTTTTCGAAGACAGAGCACTACTGGCACCCACGCTCTATGTTGTAGAGATGGTAAATAAATTTGTCTTATCCCTCATTCCTGGAGATGAAATGGTCTACTTGAGTTCTGATTCATTATGCCAAACAGATTCGAATGTTGGTGTTGATGGAGACTGGATAACAGTTGAGTTTTTGAATGAAATCAAATGTTCGGGGATCCCAAACCACATGATAGTTTTAAAAAAAGGGGTACCAATTATGTTACTACGGAACATTGACCAAACATCTGGATTGTGTAATAGTACAAGATTAATTGTTGACGAGATGCAAAAGAATGTTATTGGTGCTATTGTGGGAACGTACCCGGCGCTGGGGTTGGCAAGGCTCCGCTCGGTCACCACACCGAGCACGCTGCCACTTCCTAGCACAAGGGAAAGAAGACGCGGAGGAGCAGGAGGAGGCCTGGCAAGGGCCCGCTGATCGAGGAGGTGTTGGTGGAGGACGTCCCAGAAGGGGAGGACGATGAGTCCAGTGAGTGTAGAATCTCGGCCTTCAAACGCTTGGGAGGCGAGGATACCCGAGTGTCGGCATTCGATTGGCTCAACCGCGGACCGGAAGGCCGTCTAGGTGATCTTCGCCGGCAGATCTCTGAGGGTAGGCGGAGGAACGCTGAGGAATCAGCGACCTCGGATGCGCGCTCGGTGAGACCTGAGCGAACCGAAGGCCGAACGGACGAGCGAACTCAGCGTCGCCAGAGCCCATCCAGAACCGAGAAGACTAAGGTCCCTGAACGTGGTATGACTGAGCTTGCGCGCGAGATTGCCGAGCTCAAACGCCGAGTAGAGACAAAGTCCCCCTACAGCCAGCCCATCTTGCGCACGGTAACCCCGTTTACACCGAGGGTGATGTCAGTTCCGCTGCCGACAAACTTCCGTCCGTGGCAGATCAAGGCTTACAGCGGGACGACGGATCCCCAGGATCATTTGTCAAAGTTCTACGCTTCGATGGAGGCGGCGGCAGCCACGGACGAGGTCAAGTGCAGGTGCTTCCTCGCGACGCTAGAGGGCTCCGCGTGCGATTGGTTCAACCGGCTCCAAAAGGGAACCATTGACGATTGGGATACGCTGGCGGAGAAGTTCTTGACGCATTTCGCGGCCAACCGAAGGCAAAGGCTGCCTTATTCCCACCTGCTCAACATATGCATCCGCAAGGGAGAAAAGGTCCGCGACTTCATAGTCCGGTGGGAGAAGGAAGCCAGAGACGTGCATGGGGCGGATGACCAGGCGTTGGTTGCCATGTTCCAAGCAGCCCT